AAGATGAGTGGACTTCAACTCCCAGAATTCCCCAGCCAGCATGGCTGGCTGGGGAATTCTGAGAGTTGAAGTCCACTCATCTTAAAGTGGCCAAGTTTGGACAACACTGCTCTAGAGGAATGGCTGATTCCCTGCCAAGTCTCTCATGTCCAGAAAGTGGTTTGTAAATGGCTTTTGGGCAACTGACTGAGGCTGAGTTAACCCACATTGGCAATGGCTTGTCAGTCCAATAGGGGAATAGCGTGGCAAGGCTCATTTGAAATGATGTGTCCAGAATATTTAGTTTTTATTTTCATGCTTCCTGCTGAAACAGTGCATTCAATACATTGATCCACCAGATCAATCCCCGTGAACAAATAAAATCCTAGCCATCTACTGTCAACTTTCTAAGTCCCTGGACTTCCAAAACGGGAGCTTTGCTCTGTTTATTTTGAAATGGAAAATAAGAGATCTTTGTGTCTATGTGAATATTTTAGAGGCTCAACTTCAGAGATCCCACCATTAGTGCTAATGAAAAATACATTAGCGCACTGCACCAGTAATTTCCAACTGCTGGCAGCAGAGGATTAATTCACTTAGTATGAATATTAATACACGCATTGGAATAAATATTAATACCTGATTCCATGCAAGTTTTCAACATTAGAAAGAAGAGAATTGGGAAGAAATGATAAACAACAGAACTTACTCTATTCTAGCGAATGAGATACAAAACTTTACACAGACTGCTTCCAACAAGATTTTTCCCCAGCCTCCTTGGCTCTTAGGTTAACAGAAACATGTATGCGGCCTGCATCAAACGTGATGTGCGATGGGCCACAGCAGGGCTAAGCTAGCCATTAAACCAGTGTTTCTCAACCTTGACAACTTTAATATGTGTGGACTTCAACTCCCAGAATTCCACAGCTGGCTGGGGAATTCTGGGAGTTGAGGTCCACACATATTAAAGTTGTCAAGGTTGAGAAACAGTGCATTAAACAAAGAATCCTTGATTCTTTGGAAGATATTGAGAAGGTACCAGGTTTTTTAGCCTCAGAGTGGGACAAATATTTAGTGGCTCCTGCAGTGGACCTCTCACAATTAGAAACACTGAGCCACAGAAAAGCTTTTAAGCTGACAAGTGCTGAGTGCTACCCTCTGCTGTCTGGAAGGGCAAGTATATGAAGTGCCCAGTGGTTCAAAGGCTTTGCACGGCAACAAGGGAGACATAAAAACTCTGAAACAGGTCATCCTCTGTGGCCCATTCTATAGAGATATAAGGGCTAGGCTTATTCTTCCCTGATTAGTGGGTGCCCTGAGACCCTGGACTCAATCGATACCCAATTTCTATTAGAAGATGTACTACACTAACATTGCAAGATCCTGCACAGCTGCTTGCAAAATTTGGTGAGTATGTACCGAGCACAGCTCTGGTTAAATACCTTGATTTTATGCTTTCTCTTTCTTATCATATTGTATTGATTTTAGCCTCATTCCCTTTTACCTTTCACAGAGCCCACATGGCTTTAGATGTTTATGAAGTCATCCAGGTGGAATTGTCTAGAGGTTGAGTCATGGCAACTGGACTTCTTTTCTTTTTGGTAGAGACATTTCGCTACTTGTCCAAGCAGCTTCTTCAATCTGAAGGGACTGAAGAAGCTGCTTGGACAAGTAGCG